GTAAATTGTTAATATTTGTTTTAATCTATAACATCAGATAACAAATAATGGTCCAGGAGTTCGTCGGTGTATTTACTAACACAAACAGTTAGTAATACATTTATTATGGTGTTTATTCAACTTTATTATCGTTAATGTTATTTAAGTGAAATACTGTTAGTTCATTTACTCACAGTGCATTAACTGATGTAAATGAGCTCTGGATTTTAATAATGCATTAGTTAATAATGAACTAGGATTAATAAATGCTTTACAAGATTATTCATACTTAATACTAGTAAATACATAACCTAATGGACTATTATTTTAAAGTTTTACTAACAAGTTTCAAGTTAAAATGATAAATTTATGGACATTTAAAAAAAATTTGTTTCTAAAAATGACAAGTGGTGAAAATATCAAATGGTTTTATATGAAGCAACTGAACAATTTGTTGATCTACCAACTATTTCTGCCAGTTATTTTTTTGTCTAAAAAAATTGCACAAATCTGAACATGTGGCACTATTTTTAATAGGTAGACAATAAACGGATCAAAGTTGACATTTTTAAATGGTTTTATATATATATATATACACACACACACACACACACACACACACACACACACACACATAATATAATAAAGTGAACTAAATACTAGGGATGCACTGATATGAATTTTTTTGGTCGATTTTGATAACCGATATATATAATAGCCGATAAATATAAATAATCTTTCTAAATGTTTTATTTTTAATACAGTAAACAACTGATTATTTTTAAACTTCATAAAAGTTTGATCTGATGTTATGAACTGAATAGCCCACTCCCAGCAAAAAAGCATTTTTTCAAAATTACAAAGTGGTTATATGGACCTGGATTCACCATTTCACATAAATCAATGCCAAAAATTGTTTCCTTTTCTTCGCAGAGCAAATAAACATGCAACTTGACTGTTGCACAAAAATAATAGGTTAAATAACAAAATGGGATTTAATTAACAAACAAGTATTTTTTTTTTAAATAAAATGAAAATGAAGTCATTGCATCGCTGTTATGTTTACACATGTAATCTTTTTCCTGAGGCGACTTAAACCAAAATACACAATGACCCTCAAACACACCACAATGATAAAGAACATGGTTTGGTTACTTACTGAGTTATTAACGGAATTCTCAACGTCTGGTGAGCAATACCACACATAGAAAGGAAAGCTCCGTTATAGTGCACTGGACAAGTCTGAACAAGTTCGACCCACGCGTGCACGAGGCAGGCAGTTCTGTAGAATCAGCAATCTACCAGCTTAAAGATATTGGCCTAATTTTGATATCGGACTGATAAAGATAACATAAAAAATTGCATTTACCGGCCGATGATGATATGGCTGCCAATATATCGAGCATCTCTACTAAATATGCATGTACAGATGTTAGGTTAGAGTTATTAGCCCCCATTTGTTTTTGTTTTTTAAATATTTGCCAAATGATGTTTAACAGAGCAAGGATGTTCACTGCATGTCTGATAATATTTTTTTTTTTCTTGAGAAAATTTAATTTTGTCTATAATAAAAGCTGTATTGAAATTTAAGGTCAATATTAATAACCCCCTTAAGCAATTTGTTTTTTCAATTGTGAACAGACCAAACCATCGTCATACAGTGACTTGTTTAATTACCCTAACCTGATCAGTTAACCTAATTAACCAAGTTAGGCCTTTAAATGTCACTTTAAGCTGAATACTAGCATCTTAAAAATATCTAGTAAAATATTATGTAGCCTATCATCATGGCAAAGATAGAATAAATCAGTTATTAGAAATGAGTTATTAAAATTATTGTTTAGAAATGTGTTGAAAAAATCTCATCGTTAAACAGAAAATGGGGGAAAAACATAAATGGGGGCTAATAATTCTGACTTCAACTGTACTGTACAAATTCCTGAGGAGTGATGCTAAAAATCAAGCTTTGCATCACAGTAGTGAATTACATTTAACATGTTACAACAGAAAAAAAAGTATTATTATGCCACTATTGTTATTAATTTAAAATGTAGAAAATAACTCATTAATAATGAAAGCATTTCTGTACCTTTGAGGTTCTTGAATATTCTGTGTAACAATTCTGCTTTTTGTAGGTGAAAATACCTTGAGGTTACTTGAGGCCAGAAAGGGTGAGAAAGAAGCGCAGGCCTTCATCAAACTACGCCGACAGAGAGAAAAGAAATCTCAAGAAGCCTGAGAAGACAAAAAAAAAATACATCAACCCAAAGACCCATCTTATCTATTCCCTGTTATATATATATATACAGAAGACATTATTTAATGCCAGACTTACTAATTACTGTAACATGAAAATGCCATTTTTTGATGTCCTAAAAAAATAAACCAACAGTATTTTCATCCAAAAATATACATTTGTTTATTGTCTTTTACAAAATCGGACCGAAAAGCTGTACATAAACAAAACTGAGCAGGTGATTTCCGAATTCACAGTGAAGCTCTGTGTTAATGGAAGTCATGAGCATCCCATATAACTGTGCCTTCAAACTGAATTCAACTCAAATCACACACAGAAAAAACAAACTGGAGCGCTCTTTCATAGCTTACGACTGCTCTCATGTTTAGTAATCAGTGCACACCAATCATATTTTCCAGGTTATATGAATGCGCGGTTGCTTTAGTAAACTGGTGAATTATTCAATCAATGCATTACATAATACCTGCACGTCTTAGGAATTACATAAAGTGTGTGTATGTGTGTTAACTCTTGCGCTCCAGTTAAATATGACTACAGAAAAGAAAACCTGAGAATGAAAAGCTGCGAAACCGTATTTTTGTGTTTGTAGCAGTTCCCTGGAATTTCTCCTTTTTAAAAAATCCTATACAAAAGCAATTGTAAATGTCCTATATAGCTAGCTACTGTGCTAATCTGTGTTAATGTCAGGTAAAAGTCCTTTCAGCTGCACTGAAGACACACAAACTGCATTTCTTCTGTAAACATTTCAGAACGTCGTTGCACATTCTGATTCAAACATGTTTGTTTTTTTAAGAAAGAAAAGAATACGGATTGTCTTACTATATATAGTGTATGTGTTATGCTTCTACATGAAGCATAGAATGGATATCAGAATTTGGTGTCATGATTTTTCGGTTAAATAGTTATTTAAGGGACAGTCCCCACACAAAAAAATAAACATTTAATTAATTGAAGGGATAGTTCACCCAAAGATGAAAATCCTGAACGCAGCATTCTACAAAATATCTTCTTTTTTGTTTTAACAGAATTTATACAAATTTATAGAAATTATATAAAACCACAAGGGAAATGTAGTTTTTGGGAGGTGAACTATTTCTTTAATCAGCCTCAGGTCCTCCAAGATGTAGGTAACTTTTACCTTCATTAAAATATTAACGGTTTGTTGCTGAAACTGTGGTTCTTGGAGACAAAAGATGCTGGTTGATTATTGCAATTATGCTTTGTAAGAGTCTTAAGTATTAATTTTCTCTTGCCTATATGTGTTTTTGACAGTTTGACAGTTCTAATAGCTATTGACTTTCATTTTCATGACTTACCAAGGACGTTTTCAGTTAAAAGTTTTCTTTATTAATAATAATAATTATTATTATTATTGTTATTATAAAGTCAGCTACATATTGGATGGCCTAAGAGGGATGGTTCACCAAAAAAAAAAACGTATTTACTCGTCCTCAAGTGGTTTTAAACCTTTATGAGTTTCTTTATTGTTAAACAAAAAAGAAGATATTAAGAAAAATGTTTACAACCTGTAACCACTGACTTACACAGCAGGAAAAACAAACACTATAGAAGTCAATAGCTACAGGTTTCCAACAAAAGAAAAACTAATTTAAACCACACATGGGGAAAGTTGTGTTTAGGGGAGAACTATTCCTTTAATCAACCTCAGGGCATCCAAGATATCCTTCATTGAAATATTAAAAGTTTGTAGCTGAAATTGGTTCTTGGTGACCAAAGATGCTAGTAAATTATTGTAATTCTGCTTCACAAGACCTTAATGTGTCATTAGTTACTCTAAACAATTCTTTAATATTCTATTTAATAATAAAAAAAGTCACCAGCATCATCTTAGATGGCCTAAAAGGGAGAGTAAATTAAAGGGACGGTTCACCCAAAAAGGAATATTTATTCGCCCTCAAGTGGTTCCAAACCTTTATGAGTTTCTTTATTCTGTTAAACACAAAAGAAGATATTTTGAAAAATGTTTAAAACCTGTAACCATTGACTTCCACAGTAGGAAAACGAATAATATAGAAGTTATTGGTTACAGGTTTCCATATTTTTTCAAAAATATCTTCTTTTGTGTTCAACAGAAGAAAAAAATTGAACAATTATGTGAAGGTTGAGTAAATATTGACAGAAGTTTCAGTTTTGAGTGAACTATCACACTAAATACAAATCCTCATTATTTTAGGACCTGTCCCTCCAAACATAATGTCATAGAAGCACTAGCTAGTGCTTTTAAAAACCTAAATCAGGTCTGAAAACTAATACAGGTAAAGGTTGTTTTGTTCCCATTTAAATACATGGAAAAAGTATCATTACAACGCAACATAAGCATATTATATCAGTGATGTTTTATCCCCACAATAAACATGAGAACCTCACAAACTGATCGTGTCATAGCTTTTAAAAAGAAAATGGTCCACCTGCATGCTAGTGTAATGGAAGTGGCATGGCATGTCTTACTGATATGGTCGATATGCAGAAAACAAGATTATAAGTCATATGTCAGAATGCAGAATTCTAAAATTTCCTATGGGTTTTATTAAAGGAACACTCTCTTTTTTGGAAAATACGCTCATTTTACAACTCCCCAAGAGTTGAACAGTTAGTTTTACAATTTTTGAATCCATTCAGCTGATCTCCATGTCTGAAGAGAGCACTTTTAGCTTAGCTTAGCATAAATCATTGAATCAGATTAGACCGTTAGCATTGTTTAAAAAAATCTGCTATTTAAAAAAGATAAAACCTTCATTTTCTTACCACATGAAGTAACTACAGAAAAGTCAAGATTTGAACAGAAAATTTTTCAAAACTATTTTTTTTTTTTTTGGGCGAGTTAGATGCTAATGGTCTAATCTGATTCATTGAATTATGCTAAGCTAAGCTAAAAGTCCTTCTGCTAGATCTGAAGATCAACTAAGTATTTTACAAAATGGTTAAACACAACTGTTTGACAATAGGGGAGATGTAAAATGAGCCTATTTCCAAAAAAAGTGTTCCTCTAATGAGAGAAATTAAGTTTGTGGTAAACATAACTGGATGAAACTTAATGTTTTGTTCTACAACAAAAACAGCAGACTTAAACCTCAAATGTTCTAATGTACTTAAATTGAAACAGCATTTTGCTGTTGTTTGAGTCTAATCCATGTTGTCGAGCAAACCTGTAAAGTATTGTCAAGTTATGTCTATCACAGTCATTATTTCTTCCATAAATTAAATAAAAACGCGAAATCTTACCAGAATCCATAGTAAATAATGAGTTTTGACATCACTACTGCACAAGACTATTAAAGGGACAGTTCACTCAACTTTAATTTGATTTATTTCTGTCATAAATCACTCACCCTCAACTTGTTTAAAACCTATATGTGTTTTTTCTACTGTTGAACACAAAAGAAGATAGTTTGAAGAATGTTGAAAACCAGTAGCCTTGGTCTTCCATTGTATTTTTTCCTACTATGAAAGTCGATGGCTGCTGGTTTACAACAATAAAGGATTGGAACTACTTGAGGGTGAGTACATTTACATATTTGTAGGTGAACTGTCACTTTAGCTTGTAGCCAAGGTAAGGCTGAGGCGGTTTCACTACTGTCAGATTTGAGTTTAGCATTGGACAGAATTTGATATATGCTGTGGGGTGTGTGAATTCTAGCATTATGACTGTGGGATGTTGATGTTTGGCTGGTGTTCGGTGCACAGCGGGCACTCTGTGGAAGTGGCACAGCGCTCACAGTGCAGACCGTGCTGGCATGGTAATGTCACTGATCCCAATTCATCACAAGATACACAATATAATCTCTGCTTCCTGAACACAGCCTGAAAGAAAGAGCAGAGGCACAGACATGTATTGTTAATAACCCCATTCATTAAAAACAGCTGTGGTCATACATTACATGCACACAGTACTGTGCCAAAGTCTTAGGCCATTAGTACTTTCACTACAACAACAGTAAAAAACAGGCTTGAAGTCGGTTATTTCTATATTTTTCTATAGCATGTCACTTTGAAATATCAATTTACATTTCCGAACATTATTTTTGTAATTAATTATTTTACAGTGAGATTATTGTCTGCACAAGGAGTCTGACAGCAGCCAGTGCTCCACAGAGATCTGATCATCATGCAGTCTGTCTGAAATGACATGAAGAGAGACAAACTAAACCCAGAAGAACTTTGACAACATCTCTAAGATGCTTTAAAAAAACGCCCTTTTTTGGGTGAAAATACTAGTGGCCTAAGACTTCAGCATATATACAAAGAGTTCAGCATATATAAACAACACTAAAAACTCCAAAAGTAACACATTTCTTCACTAAAAATAGATCACAACAATAATTTTTTAAACACACTGGCTCTTCATCAGACGAGATGAGTTCACATGCTGTGAGCTTTTTTTAAGTGAATAAATTTGGTACCTTTGGAGCTTTTGGTGTTGCTGCCCTTTTATATGTATGTGCATACTTTCTGTTTGACTGAAGCTCCCAGTAAAGGTTGATGTGCATGCTTTTGTTACATTTTTTAATATGGTAATACAAGCATATGATCTATTTTAGGGAATCTTTATGTAACTGCATAATGTAGTTCAGATATTGTAAAATTACATGCTTTATTTTTCAGTTAACTGAACTTTTCTTCTATATCAGATTGATCCTTAAAGAATTGTTGGTCATATATAAAAGCCAATATATATAAAAGCCAATAGATATATATCCTTTTTTAATACAATAAATAGCATTGTTCCATTTCATTAATATTCATTATTCAAATAAAATTGTTGTTTGTGACTTAAAAAAATAAAAATAAAACTAGAAAAAATGCATAATATAATATAACAAAATATAATATAACACAACAAAACAACATAATATAATACAATTAAATAATATATGGACATAATATAATATAATAATATGATGCAATAATATAACAATAAAATAATATGCAATAATAAAATAATATAATAATATAATATAATATAAAAAAATCTAATATAATGTAATAATATAATAATATTATATAACAATAAAATAATATATAATAATAAAATATTACAATAATATAATATAAAATAATAATATAAAATAATATATATATATATATATATATATATATATATATATATATATACATTATTATAATAATATAATGTAATAATATAATATAATAATACAATATAAAATAATATATATTATATTATAATAATAAAATATTATAATATTATAATATAATAAAATAAAATTATTATATTATATTATATAGGCTTAAAATAAATCTATATTTGTAATCACATACTTTTCACATGATTTTATTTTATTGAGGTTTATTTTGTGATTGGTTTATCCAGTGAGGTTTCTGAATATTCCAACACCTCTGTGGCCTCATTTTACACATACAGTACCACAGTATCTTTAGTTCACATGCTGGCATGTTTGCTGCACACACTCTTAGATAATACAAACTGCTCTAAAACACACTTATAGAGAATAAAAAATCTTCTCACTAATTTTTGGATTAAACATCATGATTTCTGGTGATTATGTTGAGTTTAGAGGTATCAGCTGTGTGCCTACCTGTTCTACAGTGCGCAGGCAGGAGCAGATCTGTGCCTGCAGGCTGCAGATGGAGCTGAGAGGCAGTCTGTGCAGGAGCTGGAGCTGGTGGAGCTGTAGATGAGGGTTTTCCGCATGTCTGAGAGTCTCCAGCGCCTCCTCCAGGAGAGCGGCCTGCTGCTGCGCCTCCACCTCTGCCTGCCGTGCTCGTTCCGCCTCCATTCCCAGCTGCCCTGCCAGTAGACGAGCGTCCTCCGCATCCGCCTTCAACACCGCCAGGGACTAAGACAGAAAAAAATACAATCAAAACAGTGATCAAACCACAATTAATACAATCAAAAAAATACAAAAAAAAACACAATTAATCCCTTAACAGTTTAGCTGTAGCTCTATATTATGCATAGATCCTAGATACTATTGATTTTTATTATTAACTACGATATACACATACTACATATGTGTGAAGTGGATTATCTTATATAAAATCTAGTAGGTTTTAGTTTATTTATTTATTTATTCACAAATTTTTAGTAGATATGGCTTTGAGAATTTTATTTTAGAATAACATTTCTTCAAATCTGATCAGAAAAAACAAATATGTTCATTTTGTGTGATTGAAAACTGGGGTTATTCTACCAAATACTGCACTCCACTATTAATACACACAATACACATATTAATACTTATATTATACTACCCATGTGTGTGTACTATCATAGGGTCCCATATCACTTAATAATATTCAGAATCTTTCCTACATCCTGAATACTTGGCTGTTTCTCAATATGCGTTCTTGTGTCCTCGTAAAACGTCATCAACCGTCGCCAAAGTACAGTTCCAATTCAAAGTTCACATCTTTTCAAGTACACATGAAATTCCCGAATGTGTACTTGCTCTGGCCTTTGGCCAAGGATGCATCGAGAGGTGACTTGTGCGAACTTGCGAAGCTCAGGTATCCCAGAATGCATTGCAGCATAACCAGCAAACGCTAACGGCGGAGGAGGAAACCTGCACGGTTTTGAAAATGCTCCTTTACTGTGTCACAAAATAAAGTTTTAAGAGTTTTTCAGGCGAGAATGTAGTTGTTTTAAACTCGAATCGGCAGTTTATTCACAAAGATAGCGCTTCTTTAACGATGTGGCTCAGCTTATGCTGACTCCGACTCCCAGCCTGCCAGCGGGAGCTCCGTCATTAGCTCTCCTATTAGAGCAGCTTTACTTCAGCCAGGTCATCTGGGATGTAACTCTGGATCTCATCACTCCATTGTAGTTAAAACAGGATATTCAATACATCTTGTGAATATCTAACGGACAGTTTTTGTTCTTACAAATCTATTATTTGTGTATTATTGTGTATTATTTTGGCAGTGTTATTTTGTTACCTTTTAAAATTGTCTTTAATTATGTTACCGTGATATACGATGTTTGTCTTTGTATACCAAATTGCTTATCGTGTATGTCTTTACTTATTGTGTGTAAAATTACCATTGTAGTTTAATAAATCTGATAATCAAAGACACATGTATAATAACTCGCTTTAATTCACATTTATATGAATATATGTGTACATTTTCTTTAATCAAAAATGTAGATTTATAATATTAATATAATATTAATGAAATCATTTTATTGTTAATGTACACTGAAACTGATGAATCCATAGTGAGGTAAGTGACGTTATAAAGTACACTGCTGTTCTATTTGAAGAAGTACCCGACTTGTGTCCTTGCGTCCTCGGTAGTTCGTTCTTCCAAGTCTGAACTTCCAAGAACGCAAGTCCGAACTTAGCGTACTTGGTATTGAGAAACAGCCCTTGTGTTATTTTGTAGTGCAAACAGAAAAGCAAACGTCAATATTTATATGTAGATTAATTTCTGATTGAAACATCATGGAAAACAAGATTTTGACCAGGTTTCCAAGCAACCATGACTAAGATACACACGTGTAAACACAAAACAGTAGGGATGTAACGGTATTGTAAATACCGTCATACCGCAATATTAATTTTTTTCGATATTACCGAAGTCGCATGACTCGGTAAAACTATAGGTCTTCTGAGAAAATTTGCTCAGGCGAATGAAGCGAACGGGAGGTAGCGAAAACTACAATTCCCATCAGCCCATGCTTGACCATCATCCCTTGCGGTCTGTTGTCGCTACAGATCCAGTAATGCGGAAATGGAGTGTGCTGCTAGAAGCGGGGATTAAAAAGAGCTGGAAAACTCTAAAGCGGGTGTTGTCGCCGCGCGCGTACTGAATAGCGGTGTTGTCGCGCGAGTTCTTATCAGCTGTGTTGTCGCTTGCGTACTGAATAGCGGTGTTGTCGCTTGCGTACTGAATAGCGGTGTTGTCGCGCGAGTTCTTATCAGCTGTGTTGTCGCGCGAGTTCTTATCAGCTGTGTTGTCGCTTGCGTACTGAATAGCGGTGTTGTCGCTTGCGTACTGAATAGCGGTGTTGTCGCGCGAGTTCTTATCAGCTGTGTTGTCGCGCGAGTTCTTATCAGCTGTGTTGTCGCTTGCGTACTGAATAGCGGTGTTGTCGCTTGCGTACTGAATAGCGGTGTTGTCGCTTGCGTACTGAATAGCGGTGTTGTCGCTTGCGTACTGAATAGCGGTGTTGTCGCGCGAGTTCTTATCAGCTGTGTTGTCGCGCGAGTTCTTATCAGCTGTTTTGTCGCGCGAGTTCTTATCAGCTGTGTTGTCGCGCGAGTTCTTATCAGCTGTGTTGTCGCGCGAGTTCTTATCAGCTGTGTTGTCGCGCGAGTTCTTATCAGCTGTGTTGTCGCGCGCGTACTAAATAGCCGTGTTGTCAGCACACTGTTCAGATTGATGCAGACATCATGAGACCTCTATCTTACTCATGGTTTGTCCTCTCAAGTGGGGGAAAGACAATGCACAACGTTACCCACTGCTGTCAACCTGGGCCAAGTCATATCTCTCTTGTCCCAGAAACCTCAGTCCCAAATGAGAGGTTTTTTTCTGTTGCAGGGGACATTGTAAATGCCCAGAGATACCAGCTTTTACCAGATTATATTTATATGATAATTTTCCTTTAAACCCATCTCTATCTAAGTGAGTGAGTGATTAAATGTTGAATGTGATGAGTTTTAAACAATACTAAATTGAAACTTTATTTTTTTTACATGGTTTAATATTTTTTTGTTATTAAAATTGAAGTTCCTGTTTCAAAGCTTACAGATAGATGGCTAATTTGTATGTCATTGACACTTTTGGCACTTTTTTGGAGTATTTTCATAAGTTTTGTTTTTTCCTGTAAATGATTCAATAAATACCGCACCGTGACATTCATACCGAGGTATTACCGTACCGTGAAATTCTGATACCGTTACATCCCTACAAAACAGTATAAAGTGTGAAATATGGTCACATTTCTTTCCCATAAGCAGCGGTCTGACCTGAGCCATCTGTCTCCAGCTGTGGTCCCAGTGTTTCAGCACTCTGTGAGCTTCCTCCACTTCCTGTTTGAGCCGTGATGTCTCGCTGTACATGCTGCCTGCTGACAGCAGAGCTGGAGGAGTACCTGGAGAACTCTGGCCTGTTGGAAAATGCTCCCAAATACTGCTGCTCATGCCATTTAAACCTATAAAACAAACAAACATTGCATTCAGAGCTGTGCTCTGCTAAAAATACAATGGACATTTCATTTAATCAAAGACACAGCGGGGGAAACGGTGAAAGGGGTCTTTCATGCACTTAAGGTTTTGGGCTTTCTGGAATTTTATAAAGTGAATTTTAAAGTGAAGCAACCAAAATCCATGTGTAAGGCCCAATCCCAACTCTCCTCCTTATGCCTCATTCACACTAGCAGACTTTGTAGCTGCCTGTCACTCTGGTTGCTTTAAATGCAGGTCTGTGTAGCAGGGCTCGAAATGAACTTTATTACTTGGTAGCACCGGTGCTCCCAACCTGAAATATTTAGGAGAACCAGAAAAATGTAGGAGCACCCACCAAAAATGAATGATATATTTGACAAGTTGTATATTAAGGGATTTATTGTATTTGAAAACTACATCAATTGGGACTAACAAAACCCAGAAACAACTATCTAACTAATGCTTGATGACTTAATATTTGTGCAATAATTCCAAAATGAATGTTGAATAATTATAAAATATTAATGATGACGATGATGACAATAATACTAATAATGAATTCTATTTCTCATCATTATGCTGCCTTGAATGTGCTTTAATGCAAGTTATCTGCTATATAAAGTCCTAATGTTACTTTATGAAAAATAAATTGATGGTTTGCATCAAACACAAATGAAGCATTGTAGTAAGAAATATTTATTTTGTACTATTGTTTTTATATGCATGTCAATTTAATAAATAATATTTCTGCTACAAAACAAACTAAATAATATAATAACTCATTCAATTCAATGCTGAAAGCTGCAAAGCAGTCATCAGTAATTAAATAGAAAAATAAAATACACCTCAAGAAAGAACGGACAAAAGAAAGGAAGAAAAGTCTCACTTTTTAAAAGTTTTGGTTTCGGTTCGTGTCATTTTAATGCTCAGCCTCGTTACATGCTGAATTAAATTTTCTGTGTTTGCGGAAAAGCATGCCAGTCAGTCGGCCCAATACGAGGGGGGCAGAGCAGGATTCTCCCGATGGCCATCGGCGCAATACTGTTCTTTGTTATAACCCACATCAGTTTAAACTCAGTGAAGGCGAGCTTCTTTGGCGATGGTGTTTTAGCGGACATTTGCGCTGTTGCAGCTTGATCTCACGAGGAAACGTAGCCTATGAAAATGTTACGAATTGCCGTGAGATAGTGTTGGCTGAACACGCAGTGCATGCAACGCATCGAGATCAGTGTACTTTTCACTCTACAGCCGTTTGCATTCCCCGCGGTCACAAAAGCTCCCTCCCTGTCATCTGACAGCGGAAAGTCTTAAGTGATTGACAGCTAATATGAACCAATATAGCAGCAGGGAAGAGCGATTCAGCACATTTTTAGAAACAAAACAGGTCGCACTACAACCATTATCTGCAGTCGCACAAATGCTCCCAATATATATTATGAGGTCGCATAGCTTAAATTTCGGGCGGTTATGCGTTGCGACCAAAATGGTCGCAATTTCGAGCCCTGTGTAGGTATATACAGCACGAATACAACGGGCCTCTGAGCGAGCTGAGAGAGGATCACGTGAGCTCTACTGGTGCTCACCCACCTGGTTGCCAACGGTCACTGTCGCTCGCGTAGACAGAGGTCGCCGTAAGTTGCTCGCTCTCCATTGAAATGAATGGTTACTTGTCCCTGCGAGGCTTTAGCCCTTTAGTACCTTACCCCCTTGTCCCAATTCTCTTTAGCTTGAAGGCGTAGGACTAAAAGGAAGGGCTAGATAGCCCTTGAAACTGAGATTTTCCAGTTTTTGTTCCAGATTTTGAGATTTTTCTTTTTATCATTATTATACATTTTTACAACAAGCAAGCACATGTTTTTATACACTTATATTGGCATTCATGTTTTACTGTCATGCTTTTTAAAAAAGACCCCTAAAAAAAAAAAAAACACAAAATTTCGCTCCAAGCCCTAATAATAACTCCTGTATAGCAGTCCAGTCAGATACCCTGACAGAAAAGTCTCGTGGCTGGGAATGAGCTTTATCTGCTATAATGTTAATGTTGTTTTCGTGCGCTTACATTGCTGAATATGGCCACTGTGTAAGTGGGCAGTACAGTTACGATCTTATCGCCACATTAGATCTGTATGATAACATGATATTGTTGCCTTTAGTGATTTCCTAAAGATAAAAACAAAAAAATACAAAAAAATAATGCAACTGGAATAACTGCAGCAGTCGCGATCGTCGATCTCATATGAAGCAAGAGATCACAATGACATATGATGATGTGTGCAGGTGTTGTAGTGCTGTCCCATTTTCTAGGGGTAAATTTTGAAGCCCTTGCTCTTCACACCGTTTAAGGGTCAAGGGGTACAAAAATAGAATGGGGATTGGGCCTAAGTGTTCAGAAATAATTGGCTTTATATACAAGTCAGAAGTCAGAAATATTAGTCCCCCTTTTAATTTTTGTTCTTTTTTTAAATATTTCCCAAATGATGTTTAACAGAGCACAGAAATGTTCACAGTATGTCTGATAATATTTTTTCTTCTGGAGAAAGTCTTATTTGTTTTATTTTGGCTAGAATAAAAGCAGTTATTCATTTTTTAAACACCATTTTAATGTCAAAATTCTTTTTATCTGAAAGTCCCCTAAACAAATCATCATTATACAAAAACTTGCCTAATTACCCTAACCTGCCCAGTTAACCTAATTAACCTAGTTAAGCCTTTAAATGTCACTTTAAGCTGTATAGAAGTGTCTTGAAAAATATGTAGTCAAAGATTATTTACTGTCATCATGGCAAAGATAAAATAAATCAGTTATTAGAGATGAGTTATTAAAACTAATATGTTTAGAAATGTATTGAAAAAATCTCCCCGTTAAACAGAAATTGGGGGAAAAAACAGGGGGGCTAAAAATTCAGGGGGGCTAAAAATTCAGGGGGGCTAATAATTCAGACCTCAACTCTCTCTCTCTCTCTCTCTCTCTCTATCTATCTATATATATTTTTTTTTATTATTATTATTATTATTATTATTATTATTTTTGGTTTACAAAAAAAATGTGAAGAAATATATTATAGTAATAATAAATTTGTAAGAATTTTATTTCTGGCCTTGATATTCAGGAAATCTAAACTCTTTCTGACCCTATTTAAAAATAAAGCAGAAAAAAATAAAATAAAATATAAAACTAAAAATAGCAGACCTAAAGAACCGTGGGACGTCCCCAAAAAACTGCTTTCTGATTGGCTAGGTTGTGGCAGCTGTGCTGAGAGGAATGGCGAGTGGTGGGCTCTGATTGGTGGAGAAGGTGAGGGCGATCTGAAAGGGGAGGGGCTACTTAAAGAGCCAGGGATGTTGACAGGTGCTGAACTCTGTAATTGACTGCCTCCTGCAGGAAGAAAGAACACAGGATGAATTTCAGCACTGATTCTTTAAGGTATGTTTTTTTTTTTTTTTTTTTAAAGAGTAAACCTCATCACCGACCTAACATGAGGCCCATGCTGGGTAGAGCTGAACTCTCCAGACTTTTCTCAAGAGCCGATACTCCAAAGTCATTCAGGTCCAGATCATCCAATGCAGATTCTAGTGAAGAGGGAGAAATAATTGATTTCATAGTATCTTTTTCCTGCTATAGATGTCCAGTCTCCAAATATTCCACAAAATACATTTGAGTTCAAAAATAAATAGTGCAGCCCCTTGAGGGCGATCAAGAGGAAGTTTTGAGTTTATTTTATTGCCATATTAGATTCTCTCGCTATTTCATGTCAAAAACAGGCACAGTATACATGCATTTCATAAATAGCACTTTTCTACAATAAAACAACATCAGCAACAATAGATGATACATAAAATAAGATTCTACAGGTTTTCCTTGAGGGTAACTACTTTCTCATTTTTAGAGTCCTTTTAGAGCAGTTTTTACAGAGAAAGCATCTTAGCAAGTTTTTTTTTTTTCTGCTTAAGGTTGTAAATTAATAGGAATTAATTGTAAATTAATAGGAAACAGCTGAAATCATTTGGCATAAATATAGAACTGGGAATTAATTTAACTGTCAATTCATCAAAAACAATGACACATGATTTACGCTACGTTTACTCTGCTCAAATCAGATTTTCAGCTGTTCACACACTGCTCTTATGAATGTGGCCAATATCAGATTTGCAGTGTGAACAGATCATGGTCCTAAACTGACTCGCATGCACAAAAATACATTACAGAGAGCACAAAATGTCTTATTATGCACACAATGTGTATACTGCACATTGTCAGATCATGCTTAGATGATTATTACCCTTTTCATAGACAACCGTGGTGTATTTCATAAACTGTAAAGAGTTATTCTGCTACTACTAATGTATATTTCAGCATTTGAGACCTAAAACAAGTCTCTTGTGATTGAAAACACTGATCATTTGTGATTTATGACAACCACAGTGCGTGGCACTCTGATCACTGGTGTAGTAAACTCATCAAGGGTTAATGAGCAGCGCAGACTGAACTGTGAAGGCAGAGTTGGTTTATCTCAGTTTCCAGAGTTTTTTAATTTTATATACAGCAGACAAGTGCAGAAGGGGGGTAGGGGCTCGACCACCTGACATTTTTTCTCTCGGAGAGAAAGTTCCCTGGATCCCCTATCCGCAACACCCACGGCGCTCTTCGGCTTCGTGATTAACCCGTGCCCATGTTAACAAGCACCAGTTTTACCTTTAAAATCTTTTTCAATATGAACAACCAACTTTCTGTGGTAAAGTAATCACCCTGTGTGCCGTTCTACTATGCTGCTGAGGAGAAGATGATGTTTGCAGCACAGAATGACGACGCATGTCACTCCAAGATTATGTAAAAGTCACATGAAATCCATCATAACCGCTCACACTGTGGTCGCATTGCGAAACATGAGATCTGTGTCTGATTTAAGACTACATATTAAAGGCACAAATCTGAAATGAAAAGATCAGATTGCATGCGGTTTGGGCTGTTCACTGAGTCACATGAGGGGGAAAAAAAAATCTAATTTGGCCCACATTTGCCTGCAGTGTGAACGTAGACTTAGAATATTCATCAGCCAATTAAAATCGAGCATTTAACAAGCTCAACAAGAACAACTAACTAGCAAACTAAGTAACTAAATAGGAATAATGTAAATGATTTTAATTGTGATAGTAACAATTCTCTCAAATCAATCGGTGATAAGCAGTGTGTATGTCACATTTTGGTAACAGTACAACTCGCTTGAAAACTCAACTATGGTTGTACTAAAAAATAGTACCAGGCACTAGGAAAAGAACCCAGTGGAGAAGTGCCTTATGTGACTATGTTTGACTTTGCGAATACCAAGAAGGGCCAGACGGAATCTGCAAAGTTTTTTGCTATTTCTGCTGAGAATTTTGGTAAAAATCTGCGGATTTCTGCAGAATTATTTTGGGAGTATCCAATGACTGTGAAAAATATGGACGACGCGACAGCCCCTTTTCCCATTAAACGCCTTGAGGGCAAAACGCCTGCTTGACAGGCACAAACTGTCGCAAAAGACTGCTGAAATTGGAGCCTTGACATGCGCAGAAGGACTGTCTGATGGAGCCAGAGGAGGAGCCGCGAAAATGAGCGGAGTCAAGCTTCCAACCAAATGCTTTATGTAAAATCAACCACGCCTCCCAAACTTCTCAGCATGCGTTTGCTGTCATATCAACACAAATGGATGTAATAACGTTAACAAATATGAGGGTTTTATATATTTAATCGCGCCAGCTCCGGGCGCATAACCTACTCGCGGTGTCGCGGGCTGATTCCGGCTCGCATGCGGCAGCGCCGGCTCGCTCGGCCGCCGCATCTGGCTCGATTGACTCGGGCTGGAATCGGGCAGTGAGTCCAGGCATCCGGAGTAGGTCCAGCAGAGGTAGTCAATCTGAGCTCTGAGGGGTAAGTCTCCGGCAGGCGAGAATCTAGCCCGAACTGGCCCGAGTGTATTTTGCTATCTGGGTGGTTAGGCGTGTATCAGCAAATTAATAAAGCCCGAAAAAAGCCCTGATCTTAGCGAATAAACAGTGTTCCACCAGGATCATGTATGTCAGAAACTATAGTTTACTGCTGAACTCATTTTGTCATGGTAAAATAACACAGAAATCGAATAATAACACTTCAGTCTCCTGCCGAAGCTTAGACGCGCTGCTTTGAGAAACTGTCAATCACAGCTGTCAATCACGATGACACGCCCAGCATTAAATTACTGCTAAAAACAAACTGTTTACAAAAATGAAGATCTGCACCTATTTCAGCACAATAACCAGTGCCTTAATCGACCAGAACCATCTTTCGGGACATTTTATTGCAAGTGTAATACATTTTTTTTATTTGGGCTCAAGTCTCCTTCATTTACACGGAGGAGGCGGGCTTTATGACTTGTACTGCAGCCAGCCCCCAGGGGGCGATCTAATGGCCGAGACCTTCACTCAAACGCAGGCTTGTGGCACACTTGGGAGTATCATAACTAAAACCTTAATATATTAAATAAAAAGTAATAAATTACTGAATAAAAACTGAATAAATTCATATTTACACATTTACTCAAGTAAATAAATAGAATTAATAAAGGGCTAAAAATCTCCAGAAATCTGCGGAATTCTGCGGAAAATCTGCGGAATTCTGTGTGCACAGATTCCGTGTGGGCCTACCAATAGGCTAATATCTCCATGAGCATTCACTCACCCACTACAGACTCCACCGTGTCGCTGGTGGGGTAGAAAGGCAGAGCGTTGGCGTTCATGCCTGAAGACGGGCCGGGTGGAGCAGGACTGGGTGGTGTGGCTGCCAAGCTGGAGGGGACACTGGAGGACATACTGAGAGGACTGCCAACAGGCAAAAACACCAACAGATCCTGAACACACAGGACATTACATAAATCATGCAAGTTGCTTAGACTAATAGTGGTTATCATGAATGTCTGTTTTGAATCGTTGTGTTCAGTATACCTGTTTGCTGTGCATGGAGGAAACGTCTCTGCTGCGCTGCTCCATTGAAAAACATTTGTGTTTGGCCTGTAAGGAAGACATAAACATTGTATAATAATGAAAAGAAAATGATAATTTTGCTTTTTATGGAGTTTTACTGTTCAACACTTGAGGTCAGTATGATTATTTGAAAGACTATTAAAGGTCTCAAGAAATAAAAATGACGTTTTTTTAGATGCAAAAAATCAGTTTGTTAGTTTTAAGGATATCTATAAGCTGTTGTGCTACAAAACAGTGACTACATATGCTTTTAGAAAATTTAAAACCAACATAAACATCCCTTCCCAATAAATGAAAAAACAAAAAATGTTGATCCATGTCACCTCATACTTCAGTTTCTCATCAAATCTTGATGGATCAAATGTTCTCTAGTATTCAGCTTCCAGAAATGATCAGATGTGCTCCAACATTAGGCACATTCAAATTGAGACTGAAAACACATCTGTTTAGCTGTGCCTTTACTGAATGAACACTGTGCTACGTCTGACACATCATACTATTATGTTTTTCTTTTTAATTCTTTTATAACCTGTTTTACTCATTTTAATCTGTTTTTATAATCATTTTAATTGTTTGTTTTTTATGTTCTCAATATTGTCCTTTTTATTCTTGTTCATGTAAAGCACTTTGAATTGCCACTGTGTTTGAAATGTGCTATATAAATAAACTTGCATTGCCTTGCCTTGCCTAGTATCTGACATGCCCCACCCCTTCAAGACGCTTCTCATTTTCCTTTCATTTGATGCACTTGAGCTCAACCAATCTCAGCTTTGATAGCCAAACGCTATTGGGGACATTCTACCAGAAACTTCACTTATAAAAAAATGGCCTGGGCCTGACTTTTAAACTTGATGTCCTCAAAAAATCATACAAAACAAGCATAAAATCATACAATTTGATGATAAATTGCACCCTTGACCACTGTCAGCTTCTCCTCCATCAAATGATGTCACTTCCGAGTCATAGCCTTACATTAAATGCAAATATGAAAGGACTGACAGAAACATGGAGACAATTGTATTTATATTATATACATGTAGTATTTATTTGTAGAATTTTTGTAATTTCATGTTTTTAATCAATTGATGTGAAAAATAACAACTATTATTAAAAATTATTAAAAATAACAACTGAACGATTGTTTACATTTTATGTTAATATGTGTGCAACATATTAACATTTTAAGAAACATTTCTGCATTGGCTTACACCCAGAATGCTTATGCAAATCACCACACTTTGGAACAAAAGACTATTAATCGTGCCTCGGGGGAGTTAACTTCTCATTAGTCAACTCGGCTCCAGAGCGTCGGAACAAAACCATCCTTATAAAAGCTTGTAGCCTCAGGCCATCACCCAAAGGTGCTTAAGTTTAGTGAGAGAAAAACCAAAAGTCATAACCACTACAGTTTTGCCGCCTCAACTAAAAATCCAGATTCCACCCCTATCCAAGTCTCCCGAGGACAAAGAACTGACCACCAGCGAACCACATGCTCAACAAAGGGAGTTCTTCACATTACTCAAGTATTGTAAGTAACACTTCTAGATTACCACTGAACTGGTATAAACTAAATGTAACCCTAAAGAAATCATAGAAGGGTTAAATTGATTATTTTTGGTTCGCTTGGTTTGGTCTTACAAGGGTTTTCCATCATTACACTCTCTTAAACTCTTGGTTGTCTTCCTTTACTCTTCTCTAAAACTGTATGAATGCGTGTTTGTGTTAGATTATTCAATAAAGCTTCATTTTGTATAAAGAAAGGTGCCTGTGCAATTTTTAAGAATCTAATGTCTTAAACTTCGTTCTCGCTACCCTGCTTGAACATAAATGGGTTTTTATTTTTGATAGCAATAGCCATATTTCTATTTTAGCAATAGCCATATTGCTATTTTAGCAATAGCCATATTGCTATTTCTGAAGTTTCTTTTTTCTAAATAACATAGTATAATATAGTTTTAACATTACAGAAGTATTAAAGCTGTAGGTTTAATTGGGCTGAGGACAAGGACAATGACAGTAAAAACACTTTACAAATGTACAAACCCTAAGGAAAATAAATCTGAGAACCAAATGAATGACAAATTCCTTTACATTTACATTTAGTCATTTAGCAGACGCTTTTATCCAAAGCAACTAACAAATGAGGACAAGGAAGCAATTTACACAACTATAAGAGCAACAATGAATAAGTGCTATAGGCAAGTTTCAGGTGTGTAAAGAAAGTGTAAGAAGCAAAACATTAGTCTTTTTTTATAATGTAGTTAGTGGAGGAGTCAGAGAGGGAATTGCATATTAGTAAGGAAAGTGGAGACTAAATAGTTGAGTTTTTAGTCGTTGACAGAACAACTCGCAGAAATCAAACATCAGTCCATTTCCGGGATGAAATACGTTTTATTCACTGTATTTACGTTTTTTATTTCAGGGATAGATAATGTACTTTTCTAGTAGAATGTCCCATTGGCTGTTTTTTAAAGGGGAGGAGCTACTCTTTGTCCCACCCTCTCTTCCTTTTTTAGTTGGGATTATGTCAAATATCGAATAAAAATGCACACATTTTACAGCACTTCACATAACTTTTAATGGTTTTATTGAGCAAGGACACATTAAAACGATCAATAAGAATAGTGTTGACGTTTTTATAACTAAAAAGGGTTTCAAAATAACTTTTTATACACCAAATGATTTTGAATTATTAAATACTAAATCTACATATTAGACTGGTTTCAGTAGAATCATATAATCCAGGGGGTCAGGAACCTTTTTTCAGCAAAGAGCCACTTTATTAGGTACGCCTGTCCAACTTCTTAATGCAAATTTGTTATTAGCTTACTGCATGGCAGCAACTCAATGCACTGAGGCATGTAGACATGGTTAAGACGATAGATTACTACTATAAATAATAGTTTTAAACAAAAACTTTATGTCCATGCACAACTCAAAAATAAACAAATATGAAGCATCACGCATAGAGCAAGTCCATGACTGAAAAAAAGGACAATTCATAGAATGTTTTACCTTTCGCTATTACCACTCATGGATGTTGTTTGAATTTACATACATGAGAAAATTACCATAAAACTGCAAGTTGTTTGCTCATTATTGGTGTCGCAATTCAAGTTTATCCATAGTGCCGCACTCGCAGATTGGTTGAAACATCCTTTTATTGTTAACTGAGTTCTTATTCATTTTGCTCTAAAAAATTTTTTTAAAGGATTTATAATTGTATTTTCAATCAAAAACTGATTTCTAGTGACGGTTATAATTCTTTTAACTGTTATAAATTATTACTGAAGGGAGACAGCTGGAGAGCCACTTATATTTGTTCAAAGAGCCAGATGTGGCTTGCGAGCCACAATGATATAATCCAAAAGAGAACATAGTGGGATAATGATGCTAAAAATGTCATCTATCAACAAAGAAATAAATTGCATTTGTAACAATTGTGGCCGATCAGACACATAATTATTTTGCTTTATTCAACAAATAATAACCCATTGACCTCTCCCACCCAGGAAAAGACTGGATAGTGAGTGTGTAACATAACTCTAAGGCTATTATAACACGAAAGGGATGCACTCAGAAATGGACATACAGAGACCTGGTCAAACTTCTATATGGTCCTCACTTAAGACTGATGTTTTTAATGTAAACTTTTATTCTCTTTATGAGTAATCAGGTGTTTGCGACAAGTCTCTTGCTTGTAATAACATGGTTTTAATACTTCTGCAATCAAAGTTTAACTTTAATACAGCTAAACAAGATCGTAGATGGTTCATGTTTGATGTCCCTGCAAAGCTAATTTGATGTACTGAACGATTGTTTACATTTTATGTTAATATGTGTGCAACATATTAACATTTTAAGAAACATTTCTGCATTGGCTTACACCCAGAATGCTTATGCAAATCACCACACTTTGGAACAAAAGACTATTAATCGTGCCTCGGGGGAGTTAACTTCTCATTAGTCAACTCGGCTCCGGAGCGTCGGAACAAAACCATCCTTATAAAAGCTTGTAGCCTCAGGCCATCACCCAAAGGTGCTCAAGTTTAGTGAGAGAAAAACCAAAAGTCATAACCACTACAGTTTTGCCGCCTCAACTAAAAATCCAGATTCCACCTCTATCCAAGTCTCCTGAGGACAAAGAACTGACAACTCAACAAAGGGAGTTCTTCACATTACTCAAGGATTATAAGTAACACTTCTAGATTACCACTGAACTGGTATAAACTAAGGCCCCGTTTACACTAATGCGTTTTAGTTTGAAAACGCATACGTTTTGCTACGGTTACGCCATCCGTCCATACTACGCCGGAGTTCTAGAGCGCCGAAAACGGAGCGTTTGGAAAACGCTGGAGAGGCCGTTTTCATTCTGAAACGCTGCTGCTCCGTCTCAGTGTGGATGATGGAAAACGGAGACATCTGAAAACGGAGGCGGGGCTGCTGAGATTCGCCTCTCTGATTGGGGCTTTTCCTCAATATTAAGTAGCCTAACACACAGTTCAGTCTCGCATCGTCTCCGTGTAAGTTAAGACTTCGCAAGTTTGATCAAGGCTGCAGTCTCTTCTTCTCAGTTTGATATGGAAAACAGACCGAGGACACGGGTAAATCTTCAAAGGGAACAGTGTACTTTATAACTTCATTCACATCACCCTGGCTACGTTGTTTCACTTTCTCAACAATAAAATGTAAACATGATATAAGGAACTGCCTATTTTCATTTTAATATTAACAACTAAACAGACAGCAGAAATGTTGAGGCGCCGTGCTGCATATATGAGCGTCATCTTCACTGTGTGGATATTTATAACAAAACGGAGCCGATAACAACGGCCTCCTTTCAATTTCAGTGAAAATACGAAACATACCCTCTCTTTTGCTGAATATCAGTTTTAATAATCGATAATGGCCATTATAAAAGTATAACATACAATAAGTTTATACATTATAGGAAATAAAGGCAAGCGATCAGTCAATATACAGAATGTACGTGCTTACATTAATCATTAACTTATCTTTGCGCTCAGCCATAACACTTTACCTGAGAACAAGTAATAGATTCCAGTGACCAAAGTCAGGGAATATGTCGTTAGATTCAGACAACAAGATGAATGAAATATCACGTTTAATAAATATAGTGAGATTAGATCCAGCGGGAGATGCTTGATGAGAAGTCCGACTAGCAGAGCTCTCATCTGGGTAGATTGGCTGCAGCGCTTGCCTGAGAGTGTGTGTGTGGTCACGTGATGTGCGTTTTCAGCGTTTTGGTGTGGACGGAGAGCAGTTCAGAAACGCTGGGTAAAACGCGAGTGTGGACGCGGAACGTTTTCATTCTAAAACGCCGTTTTAAAACTAAAACGCACTAGTGTAAACGGGGCCTAAATGTAACCCTAAAGAAACCATAGAAGGGTTAAATTGATTATTTTTGGTTCGCTTGGTTTGGTCTTACAAGGGTTTTCCATCATTACACTCTCTTAAACTCTTGGTTGTCTTCCTTTACTCTTCTCTAAAACTGTATGAATGCGTGTTTGTGTTAGATTATTCAATAAAGCTTCATTTTGTATAAAGAAAGGTGCCTGTGCAATTTTTAAGAATCTAATGTCTTAAACTTCGTTCTCGCTACCCTGCTTGAACATAAATGGGTTTTTATTTTTGATAGCAATAGCCATAAATGAAGTCCACTGTCTGTTCAAATGATCGCAGGGCAATTCGTTTGTTCGGATTTAAAGAGTCGATTCATTTGAAGCCCCGTTCAAATTACACTTCAATTCACATTGAGCTAATTCGCTACACATATTAAAATAGTCAAACAGAATTACAATCGACTAATTTACCATATTCTTGACCATATAAATGAGAAAAACAACTCTAAAATATTCAAACTGTTCCATATTTCCAGTGAATTAGAACAAACCAAAAACATAGTTTTTTAAATATTTTAAGATTACTTGCTTTGCAAATCAATTTTTAAACTCCCAGGTTTTCAAGAGTTTTCTAACCAAGGTTTTCAAATATGCAAAGTACTGCTGCAATACCTGGTCTTCCCTCTCAAATCCTGGAGCTTTCCCATAACCCCCCTCTGCTCCAGGACTGGCATCGAGACTGCAGGAGTCATCAAACAGCCCCCTTCCCAGCATGCCCTCCTCCGTTAATGTGCTCGGGCCGCTGTGACTGAAGTCCTCAAAAGCAGCAGAGAGAGGAGGAGAACTGCACCCGTCACCGACACTCACTTCTGTCAAGCAAAACATCAAGACATACAATCATGTTCAACTCCACATTTCATTTCAATAGTATCATACATGGCAGTAGATATTAAATATACAATGATAGGTGTAGTGCAGGTAGAGTTAGTGTAAATGTAACAGCAAAAATGTAACCTTACTTTCTAAATGGGCAAAAGCACAGAACGGCCCTCTGGGACAGTTTCCACTCTGCTGAATGTCATTGCATTTGGTGGATTTGTAAATCTATGAAAGAAAATGGTATTATTAGGAAATACAGACAGTATTTAAGGTTCTGCTTGATATTTAAAAGTACTATTAAATTTGATGTAATTTAGTTGGGTCTTGAGTGTTTTTTTCCCTTTATAATGATGTCTATAACAGTGTGGGGATTCATTTCAAATGTGAAGTATTTATATCTGTCTGGTGCTCGAATCCGATTGGCTGCTAGCCGTGAGATATTAAAGCAATATCAGCACTCGTACAGCCTCTTCAGTCTCTTGTGTATAACTCCTTCCACACTAGGACTAAAGAGGGACAAAACAACTCACTACAGTTTGACAAATATTGCAGCTGTTGGACAACATAATATACTTTTAAGGGCTTTTTTAGTTGAGAGTGTAGTTGTTTAGATTGCAACTATGCAGTTTATTCATAAAGGATAGCGCCTATTTTAAATATTTATGATTTCAGAGATTCAGCATGTTGGCGGCCATTAGCCTGTCATACTGAGCAACCATGGTTGACGTTTCGCCACAAGATGGCGACAGAGACCGCATAATACATCCTTAGGGGAGGAAAATCTCTGTAAATTTCAAACTACAACTGATCAGAACATTATAAAACAGGTAAGTGACTTTCTAAGTCGATCTCTCTCTCTCTTTTGTATGTGAAGGTGCTGTATTTATACCATAGTAATTTGGTAGTGTTTGTTTTGTTTTTGCTTTTTCAGGGTTAATTATTGTGATATGCTGATTGCAACAAAGAACTAATGATAAATCTCTGTAGACTGATGGCATTTCATGCTGTTCAGCCCTATAATCTTACATTTAAAATGTGAACAAAATCACCTGTTTTGTCATTATGCAGGAGAATCATTCAATTGTTAGCTCTAAAGTAACTTTGGTAAATAAGCAACGATTTCTGCTATTCTGACCGTCAGTTGCAGATGTTAATGAATGGCAAAAGTAGAAAGTAGTTCCTGATACAAAAAGAAGTTTTGAGACTCCCCGTTTGAGTTTCCTTTTTATATACACATTTATGCCTGTCTAACTGTTGTATAAATGCAATATCACATGAGTAGCAGTAGCAACGACCTTGATATATATATAAATAAATATATATATATATATATATATATATATATATATATATATATATATATATATATATATATATATATATATATATATATATATATATATATATATATATACACATCACAAAAGTTTCAGGGTTTTTTCTATGATGAAAATGCTATTTTCATTTTTTTAGTTAACTAACATAAGTGCAAAGCTCCAAAATATTTAATCAGGTAAAATAATGTAAGTTTTAAAATTGTGTAAATCATAAATAACTGTAAGAGTCATGTACAGCAATATCTGAAAATCATGTGAATCAAGTGTAAAGCCTAGAAACCACAAAAGAACAAAAAGATAAAAAAATGTTTCTAGTTTTAGTAGCTTTAGTTCATCCCATAGTGAAAAATATTAATTGAGCATGCTGAAATCAACTGTTTCAGCAAACAACACATTTTTTTTAAGCTATGAACATTTTATGTTTTAGAGTTTGATTTATTTTATTTTGAACAAAAAACCCATACACAAAACAATTCTGTACGCAAAACACATTTTGTCAAGACGGAATGGAGCTGGATGAAGCTTATTATTTTCCCCACACCATTACCATATCATTCAACTTATTTCTTCTTTTTTTACATGAGAGATATTTCATCCTTTTTGCATCTTTTACATATTATACGTTCAATTCACCATTTGTACATTTCCTTTTTATAACACACACCAAAAGTTTAAGTCAACCAAAATATCTATACGCCAGGTTGAAGATCTAACATTTTTAATGAAAAAATGCCATTTTATACCAGCTTTATCAATCACTACTAGAATAGCAAAGCAACATCACCAATCAATAACCTGAAAAATTAACCACTTAAGCCAAAGGGCCAAACAAAATAGAATCCCTAATGAGAATCACAAGCATTGCATAATCCAATAGCCACAGTTTTATTTGATTAAACCCATAAGTGCTCAAGAACATAGATGTGGCTGTTCTAGCAGTAAACGCTGATGTTGAGCAGAGTGGAGCTGCATTAGACAGAGAGTGAAGTACCTCCGGGTGGAACTGCTGTTCTGTGCGTGTGTGGCAGTACTGACAGCCTTCTCCACCCTCACATTTACTAGGATCGCCCCATTCATCACTGTGCTTCACCGAGGGACACGGCAGCGCTCTTCAAAAACACACACATATACACACACACAGAAATACATAAATAATGTGTCACATAATTATTATTAGTGCTGTCAAACAGATTAATTTCAATAAATTAATCATTTGACAGTTCTAATGGACCACAAGACTGTTATGATGCATTTTGCAAAACAAAATAGGAACAAATAGCACTGTAAAAAATTATTTGTGGCACTCTCCCATTCACTGCACTCTAAGTTTACCCAACTATTATGACTTCCGCTGCTGAAAAACCCGTAAATGTGAAAGCGTCCATTATTAGGCTGTCAATGTTACCATATTAATGTTTGAAATTAATTTCATCTTTTTGCAACCAATTTTTAAATAATTTTACACAAGCAATGAGCATTGTTTACTGAAATTTCATCAACATAACTTGTCACCGGGCTAATTAGGTGGACATATTTCTATTTAACCCCTCAGCCCAATTTCACTTCTGTTGTGATCAGATCTCAGATCAGATATTCCACTGCACAGCACGGCACGAGTGTCTTCAGTTCAGTTTCCGCATTTCCACTGCAGTTTAGCACCGCTTATAGTGGGTTGGATTATTGATATAGTTGCACATCCTTCACTGCGGTGACACCATCATTTTAATTCCTGGTCATCCCATCCAGATTTTCCTGAACTACCAATGAGAGGAACATCTGGACCTCTCCTACTGACCACAGTGCTGCCATTTCAGGTGTTTAGATGTGTGAACCAACAATACATATAAGACTACTGCTAACTATGTAAATATAGCTAGCATGGTGTTTCATAAAAAAAAGTTGAGTCAACTCAAATAGCACAGCTTTTGTTTTGTATTTTTTTTTATATATATAAAAGAGTTAAAAAAAAAATTATATATATAAATATATATATATATATTTATATATATATGTAACCCAGTAGAATAAAGTTCTACAAGTTTTTAAGTTTTAAAGTAATCTTAAGGTTATTTATTTATTTATTTATTCATATTGGTTCTAGAACAGAATTAAATCTAAAATGTGTTTTGCATTCATTTGTGAATATACATCCTAATGTTGATGTGTAATATATGAGCGTCTATCTCTGAGAATATGATAAGATAGCAAGTTTGATCAACCTTCACTGAAATACATGGGGTTAACAAGTTTGGTAGGTGTTCCTACATGATTGGTTTATATGCGTGTAGTCCCGCCCTCGGGTGTGGAGTGTGAAATGTGATTGGCTGTTGGGAAGAGAGAGCGGAGAGAGGAGACACAGCCGGCAGTTTTGGAAACTGAAGGGGAGACTCGCGTCGCGGCTGTTTTGATTGCGTAACATTCACGGAGTATAAAAACAAGTGAATATATATTGCGTGTGAACAACACGTTTTTGATTACTTTGAGTTTGTTTTGTGTTTGTTTTAAGTTCGCGGTGTGTTTTCATCATATAAGTTTCCAGTATCAGTTATTAGTCAGTTCAGAGTGAGTGAGCATTTTTTAAATGCCTAGATTGTCAACGGACAGTTACGGAGGACTAAAGCTGAACTGAGGGAGTGACGGTTAAACCGAAAATAAGGAGGAGAAAAAAGAGAGACTGTTAGATTTGCATGAAACAACGCTGAAAGAGTCAAAGAGGAGCAAATAGCACCACAAAAAGCCTGAATACTACATGAGACTTGTCTCTCATCAGCTGGGGAGAAAAAGTGAAAGTGAGGATTTGAAAGACCCGCGGCAGAAGTTCGCCGATCGATCGCGGCTCGTTGGCCCGTTGTTCACAAGTGTTGTCATCTGGATCGCTGTCATTTGGATTGCTGTCATCTGGATCGCTGTCAACTGGATCGCTGTCATCTGGATCGCTGTCAACTGGATCGCTGTCATCTGGATCGCTGGCATCTGGATCGCTGTCAACTGGATCACTGTCATCTGGATCGCTGGCATCTGGTTTGCTGTCATCTTGATCAAGGTCATCTTCATCTGAGGTATCTTGTTTAATTTTATTTGTGCTCAGGAGAGTGAAGAGGCCATTTTCATTTTCCCGGCCACAACGTACACTAGCAGCGATACAGGCCTGCAACGGGGGTGTATGAATGTGTGAGTGTGTGGGCCCACAGAGTATTGAGTTGTTTATGGAGATGCAGTGAGCATAAAATACTGCTGCGTGTTTTACAGTATAGATTTATACTAATAGTTTATATAGGTTTAATTCAGTGTGTAATTTAGTGACACAATTGTAGCCACTTTCAAAGAGAAACATATTCAGTTACTCTTAGTCACTTGTTGATTTATAAGTTTAATTGTTAGAGTGTAGAAAGGTGGTATTTTCTATATTGGTTTAATTAATATTCTTCATTGTACTGTAAATTGCTGGGTTTGACTTTGGGTCATTTTACTGTCTTTTAGCTGTGCATAAATTCTATATTTTGTATTTTGTTTTACATCTGGGGTTTTTCCCAATATTTACATTTCTATTCTAATTAAATTATTTATATTTTCTGATTTATCTAAGAGTTTTATTATTCACAGAGTTTATTTCTGGTAATTTATTCAAACACAGCAAATATTTATATTCTCATCTGCCTTATTTACATTACGTCATTGAAATATTCAGAGGGGCCTACTTCAACATATCTGTAGGCGTTTAGTGTATTGAACCTGGAGCGCTATCTTAAACTTAATACACCTAGGTGGCGCTACATAAAGTGGGGGCTCGTCCGGGATCTCCCTCTGATACATCAATGATAAGTTCATAAAGAAAGAAGAGACAAGTTAAATTATCTGAATCCAAGCACCTACTGTCTTCTATTCAAAAGTTCATAAACTGTCGCTATGGCTTTGAGAAAGGACCCCAGTCTTCAAGCAGAGTTAACAAAATGGTGTGAAGCAGCCAGTATTGATTCTACTCATGCTTTAATCCTGTTAAATGTACCTGTTTACACAGAAGTGGCAGAGATTGAAGATGTAATGGAAACTGTCAAAGCTCTGGGAAGGGTTCGAGTGAGGGACACAAGAGAAGGACCTACTGCCCAGTCTATGATGGTTCTATGTGAGTGCCGACAAGCCACTGACTCCACCCGTATTCCTCCTGAAGTGACAAGAGGGGAAAAGAGTGAGCCCTGGTCAGTTATCGTGATTCAACCAAGTGAAAGTGCCTCTAATACAGATGCTGAAGGATTCTCTGAAAAGCTGACAAAGTTCCTGATGGAGGAAGGGAAAACTTTCAGTGACGTAAAAGCTTTAATTACACCCCACAGTGCTGGTGATAGTTCTCCTGAATCAATTATACGTGCAATGGGTGAAGTACTGGAAAAGACCATAAAGCCAACAAGTGATGGAAATGCATACCGACGACTTCGGACATTTTCAGCCATCGTTCCAACCCCAATTGGAGAGGAAAACATGGATAACTGGATAGATCAAGCAAGGCTCATGATAACTGAGTGTGACTGTACTGAAAAAGAAAAACGACGCAGAATCATGGAAAGCCTTAAAGGACCAGCAATGGAAATAGTGAGAGCTGTTCGTTTCTCAAATCCAGAAGCAGGTGCTTTAGAGTATGTGGAAGCATTAGAGAGTTCCTTTGGATCTTCAGAGTCTGGTGAAGATCTGTATTTTAAGTTTCGACTTATGCGTCAAAATGCAGGGGAGGCATTATCAGAGTTTCTGAGGAGAATTGACAAAGCTCTAAAAAAAGTGGTGGAAAGAAATGGCCTGTCTTTCAGAATGGCCGATAAAGTGCGAGTAGAACAACTCATTCGAGGGGCAGTGAATTCTGATCTCATGTTGCTACAGTTGAGGCTTCGAGAACGTACAGCATGCCCACCTTCTTTCCTGAGTCTGCTGAAGGAAATACGTGAGGCAGAAGAGAGTGAAGCTTCTCGCCACAGAATGTCAGCTAAAGCCAAATCCATACAGTATTGTGATGAAACCACAAGCACATCTGTCATTCAAGAACTCAAAGGAGAGATTCAAGAGCTGCGTGCACACTTATGTGGAGTCATGCCCAAAACTGTTTCTACTTCTTCTTTGGTGGTTAAATCCAGAGAGAAACCTAACCAGATGGAAAAAACAGAAGATGTAGAAGTTCAAGAGTTAAAGAAACAAGTTCAGTACTTACAACAACAGTTGGCAGTTATGAGTGTCAGTCCTTCTCAGGGCTCACTAGAGGTTACAGAACAACGGCCAAAACCATCACAGTCCACTTCATCATCATTTAGCCGAAAGTCAACCAGAACAAAAGATGATTATTTCTGTTACAAATGTGGACAAGACGGTCATATTGCGACAAAATGTCAAGCCCCACAAAATTCAGACCAAGTAATCCAGAAGCTAATTCGTTCTTTGCGGCAAGCTAAGAGTTTTAAGTCCGAGGCTAATGAAAGCAGAAAAACCCAGAACCAAGTTTGTTTCTCTAAAAAGAGTCAGACAGACATAAACAAAGCCAGCAGTATTCCAAAAGGCCTAGTTGGACCAGCATCAACAGTAGAAGTGACAATTAATGGACAATTATGTCAAGCCCTGTTAGACAGTGGATCACAAGTGACAATAGTGTTTGAGAGTTGGTACTCTAAGAATTTAGATTATGTACCGATTCACCCCTTGACTGGATTATCCATATGGGGCCTCAGTTCGTCCAGTTATCCTTATAAGGGATATATAGTAGTGGATGTCACTTTCCCGTTCTCAGTCAGTGGAGTAAAGGAGCCGCTGTCCATCTTGGCTCTCGTATGTCCTGAACCTCAAGGGCCCTCCCAGTTACCAGTCATTATTGGAACAAACGCCAGTTTCTTCCAGCGCCTTGCTACTCTCAGTCATGATGTAAAATCATCCAGCACTGCACAAGCTTTAAGAATTCATACTAACCTTCCTGAAATCCATCTCAATCAGCAGACATGTAAAAATACCTTAATCGACCAGCCTGAGGGGAAAGTACGGTGGATGGGACCTGAAAAGTGTGTAGTTCCATCTAGAGGAGAAGTACTGGCTGTCTGTAAAATAGAGACTGAAAAACCCTTGAGAAAAGAAATTTTTG